TTGAAAGATAGATTTCTCTCTTCAAAATAGTATCTTAAGGCTTGAACTAGATGTGGGAAAGACTTTCCCCATTTATAGGTCCGAAATACGAGTAGTCTTAGTAAATAAGTAAACTCTGATTCGCGAATGACTACTCGATCGGTGGGAGGGTAGTCATAGGGCGATTAGCACTGAAGTGAAAAACAACGTCTAAAACCAGCAAAGGACTAGGACCGCTCAAGTGACCATGGGCACCGCTCAAGCGACCATGGAGATCGCTTGAGCAAGCCCTGTGTTGATCCCTCATGTCCTTTTCTCCTTTTATCCTAAGTCATCAAGAGACCGCTCTAGCGAAAATTAGTGAGCATAGGGAGGTCCCTATAGGTTTTTTTAAGCCCAAAACCATGCAAAAACTTATCCTTTTGAACACTAAAGGGTGTTGCTCAAAGAGGGGCCCGATTGTGACTTAAACTATTTTCAAAACACAAAAATAGTTTAACAAAACTTTTCTTTGAAAATCACCTAGGAGCTATCGGATCACTTCTAATTCCATTTTCATCCTAATCATCCTAAGTTGAAATAACTAGGGGTTCATCTTAGATGTCTTGGTCATTACCTTTGTCTTAAGTATGAAGGTGCATATTAAGGTTGAATGATATAGTTTTGACACTTGATCTCCTCACTTCAATTTTGCTTTTGGATCTTGAACTTGATTGCATCATGACTATGGAAATTGTTGAGATGTTACAATGGACTCTATGAAATTAGTCAATTACAAAACATGATCTAACAATCTCCCCTTTGACAATTTTGTGACAAAACACACAAGTTTGAACTAAACCTTACAACCTCAAACCATTGAACAAAAGAATTGTAAATCCAATCTCAACACTCATGCATACATCCTAAATCTTTATTTTGTACAAAGGATCTATATTTTTGGATTAAGGTTGAAGATCATAGTCCTACACATTGCCACTCAAACCACTTTATGAAATGCATCATATGTCAGAGAAATAAATCGCATAATCATAGGTATGGAAAACACCAAGAGAAGTATAAGACTTCAATATGTATACATCATACAAGTGCAAATATGAAACATATTTACTTGAGAACCAAAGCATATCTAGTTCTCCCCTTTGGTTAGAGTTTACAAGTAAAATAACAAACAAAAAATAAACAAGAAAAAATATTTCACTTCATGTCAAGTTTATAAATTTTACTCCCCGTGAGTATTTGACCTACAAACTCTCCCTTTCTATGTTCACATGCGACATATCTATCATAGTCAAGAGCAAATATCCCCGATTACCTAAAATATGTACCTAAAATATTTTCTCATTTTTATGAAAAATGTTAATCCAATGACAACATGCAACAAGCATGATACAAAATTAAGTCACCAATATTCTTATATTATTTGTCACAGATGTCAATCCAATGATGACCCATAACAATCATGATATAGAATCATAGTATAACAAGAAGGTAAGAATGCATGACAACTAGCCAAATCATGCACATAGACTAAGTAAGGGACAAATAAGACATATAACTCAATGATCAAATAAGATAATCAATCAAGCATACGATCAAGAATATGTCACAACAAACAAAAATAGAGCTAAACAAAGAAAAATAAATAGAGTACTTTAGTACAAGCCATGAATGAATAAAAGCTTTCTCATGTTCACATATGACCTAATACTAAGGGGTTGTTTGGTAACGTTGTAAAACCCGGATAAATTTAAACTTTTTGTAAAAAGAAGCAAAACAGTAATTTGTTGCTACTATATGGGTGGTAAATCTGAATTTTTCTAGACCTCGAATGATGAAATGAACCTCACCGTTAGATTCATCTCATGAAATCTAGTTACCCTATCAAATTTGATTGAATTTTGAGACAGTCAATTTTTTCATGTTTTACGAGACGATCGAGTCTCGGGTGACTCAAAAATGAGATTTTTAATAAAATTTTGAAAGTTAGAAAATAATTTGAGACAAGTTAAAAATAAAAATATTTAAACTTAAATTGGGATGAAATTTAATTGTTTCGGGGCGAAAACGGAATCGAAAAATAGAAGGTCGTGTGGCGCATTATGGGCCAAGCAATTAGAGAGTATAAAAAGGGGGGGAAATCTGATTTCTCCCCTTGATCAGTCGTTACCCAATATAGAGGAAGAGAGGGAAAAAGCTTGGGTTATCCACTTCTCTCTATGATCTACGGAGATCGAGTGCTCAAATCAACTCAAGCCAAGACCAAAGATTGTTCTACACATCGAGGGCTACGCGACCACACCAAAAAATGATGGGTTTCACCAAAAATTCCAAGGACAGAATTTTGGGAAATAAAAGGTTTGGACTTGGGAAATATTCTTGGAGGTTCTACCGTTTATTTCAAACTCCAAGAGGTAGGATTCCCTCCTACTTAGGTTTATTTACAACCTAGGTTGTTTATATGAAATAGGTATGTTGGTAGGATGCTATATCACTTGAGTATTATGCCGGATTTAAATGAAATGGATATTGGAATTGGGTAGAGTAAATTCTACCTTGAATTGGGTAAGTGAATTCGACTCAATGTGATTCATGAAATTTGGTTTTGTGTGGGCATGTTATGTGTTTATTTTGTGCCTTGGGAGTTAAGTGTGTTATTAGCATATGTTATGTGATAACATGCTTGTGAGTTGATGCTGAGAAGAAAATGTTGATATATGTTCATTGATATATTAGCATTGTGATAATGTTAGGGATTATATGCATATGATATAATTGGTCATGAAACATGTGTATATGTGAGGTTAATTTTGCTCATGTGACATTCATTACATATGGGCATGACATGGATATAGCAATGACGCATTACATTGTATTTTGTATGGAGGAACCGCATCCATAGCCATGAATATGGGTGTGGGTGTGGGTGTGTGCATAGTTGATATTAAACACCAAATAGGTGGATGATGGGTGGGCTCGAAAAAGTTGGATCGAAGATCCAATTGAGTTGCACAGTTGTGTGGATAAAGAATTGGGTTGGGATTAACAAGAAGGGCTAGACTATCCTTCGAGTGAGAAACCCGATGATCGGAGACCACTCCATTGGTATAAGAGTCCATAAAGTGTGTCGGTGTACACGGAACCATTGGTGGAAGTCCATAAATTTCGTGTTGGTTGGGTGCCGTTGGTGTAAGTCCATAAATACCTACCCCAAGAAAGACCCGGAGATTTTTAAATAGTCATCGGGTGTGTAGCGCTAATGGGGGGCTCAGAAAGCCGATTTTATACCCATGGCATTGCATGGGAAAAAAGGAGCCAAGGAGGGCTCGGTTTGAGTTGCATGAGTGAGTCTCATCTTATTTCATGGCATGACATTGCTAAGATTTCAACATTGAATAATATATTCTTATTTGGGATGTTGTTGGTTGTAAAATGTTGCATGAACATCCATATACATTTAGGTTAGGGAATAGCCTTGGTAGCAAATACTCTATTGGGCGTGGCTTACCTTATACAGGAAAATATTTCAGGTGCGGGATATACATCAGTGGAAGGCCCTCACACGGGACCCCAAGGGTGAAGAAAGCCAAAATGTGGCTTTATTTTGAGTTTTGCAAAACAACTATGAAATTTCAATTTTGGTATGTAAATACATTAAATTGAATGTAATAGAGCTTGTGTGGACCTTTTATTACATGAAAAACCTCATTATATATGAGTTGGATGGAAATAATATGTTTAAGAATGAGTTGAGAATGAAAAATAGGTAAAATAGGCAAAAATGGGCAAAGAGTACTAGTACTCCATGAGGTCTAGTGGGTTAACCGTATTGGTACAGATTTTCCAGTGGGTTAACCGTACCGGTACAACTTTGTCCAGAAGGCAGAGCGTATCGGTATGTCGTACCAATACAGATTTTCCAGAAGGCTCACCGGACCGGTACTGCGTACTGGTATTCTTTCCAAAATTTTAAAATTTTAAAATTACTTTGCCAAGCTTTTGGGCTATGGGTTATTTGGTTCCAAGGATATGAATGAACTACAATGGAGTCTAGAATGTGGTGCATTGGACCATGGTTGAATTAAATGAGAAAATATACACGGGTTACCCGTGTGAATTATGACCCCGGCTAAGGGAATGTGATTGACGTGATGTCGGGTAATGCAGCAATCACAGGTATTTTCGCAGGTTGACGGGTGGTCAACTGTTGTTAAAGGACCCCCGATTTTAGGGGCGTCACAAATTTTTTCGTTTTCGCCTCTTCAAAGCAATCAACACACAAGGACATTTATTGTCTCTATTTTGTGATAAACACTGAAACAGAAAACATGTTTGAGTGTCATTTTTGTCTATCAAATTATGAGAATAAAAACAAAAAATATGTTTGGTAACTACTTCACGTTTTATCCTAAATATGTATTATAATATCTCATACAACAAAATACAAATCTAAAAATTTCTTAAACTAAAACATCCACTAATTCATCAAAGAACACCTAAAGAAAGATAATTAGATTACATAAGTCATTAATCACATTCATATATCATTTTGATGATACACTATCGAATTTGTGGTTCTATTATGCTAGCCTACATATGTATACCACGTTGTAACCAATAGGATGGTGTGTGATATGTGTAGATAATGGATTGTAGGCTGGCACTCCCAATGGGAAGAAGAATGAGAGAGAATAAAATAAAGAGGTATTCTACGTGGAAACAATAGAGATAAGCCAAAGTGCTCCTAATGTAGGCAAATAGAGAATTATTTCATCCCTAATTAACCAACCTTGATGTCACAAAATGTATAACAGAGATCATAAAGTGTGTAGTCATTTAACAGCTGCCTATTATGATTCCTCAATCTTAGCTCTTTAGCTATGCTACACAATAAAATAGAGCAACAACACAACTCAACATGTAACTACTTGGATGGGTCTAGGTTCTTTGGCTTCAACTCTCCAATTTGGCTGATGGGTCCAGGAGGAAAAACTGGGTCAGAAGGCAGAGTTTTGCTCCCCTCAATTGCAAGAGCTCCATCTATTGTTGTTCCAAATGAAAGCTCCATCCTTACTTCCAAACTCCGAGTTCCCATTATCAATTTTGGCATCCATAATTGATGCCTCTTCAACTTCAGAATTTACGATGATAGATATCTCATGACTTTCAACTTCCCTTATAGCACCATTTGAACTCCCACCTCCTGATGGAAATTTATAGCAAAGCTACACAAAAAGGAAAAAAATAGAAGGAATTCAAGTCCCGAATTAAAGCATTTGAAAAATTGCTAGTCGCTAAGCATAAGTCACCAAGAGCAATAGAAGCACACGCACACACAAGCTAGAGAAATTTAGAAGAATTGAATATGTTCACTCATATTAATTTACTATTTAAAAAACTCTCTTTGCAATTGAATACTAGTTTTCTCGCAACCACTAAGGGACTAGCCTTGTGAATGGCATATAAGCAAACAGACAACAGATCAAAGTCAATCCATTTAAGGCATCACGTCACTCAGCTACAACTCACACTCACAGAACACACAAAACACACACACACACAGAGCACGCTCACAGAAGCAAAACACACACTGACCTCATAATAAAGACATACAAATATACAGATCTATGTATATTGTGGTGAAAAAAATACAGATAAAACAAAAAAAAATACGATTAGGGTCTGTGATGTACAAATCTATGTAGATCTATGCATATATATATATATATATATATATATATATATATATATATATATATATATATATATATATATATATATATATAGACCTATGTATATATATACATATGTCTATACAAGTAAAGGGATTATACTTACCTTCACAGCAAAAGGAAGCTTCTTCTTCGTCGATCTGTGAGTGGAAGCCCCTTTTTCGTCGATCTGTGAGTGGAAGTCTCTTCTTCGTTGAGAGAGAGAGAGGAGAAGACAGAGTCGTTGAGAGCTCCGGAGAAGAAAGAGAGGAGTTGAAAGAGACAAGAGAAGAGAGAGTCGTTGCTAAAAGAGTTACAGAGAGAGAAAAGAAGAGAGAGTTGCAAAGAAAGAGAAGAGAAGAGAAGAGAGGGGTTGTTCGAGTGTGTTATGTGAGGATGAAAATGAGAAAGACCCATATTTATAGTTAATCACATGAAGTTGTATTTTGTGGCTAATAAGACTCGAAGTTGAGACCTCATTTAAACTCAACACGCGTGTTTTGTGTTTCTCATGTTTTCTGGAACACATTTTTGTTGTTCTCATTTTTTTGTCTTTGTCTCCAAAACAACTAATATAAAACAAAAATAAAAACAGTACCCAAACATATTTTTGTGTTCATTTTTGACAAAAATTGAAAACAAAAACACAAAACACAAAACAAAAACAGTTACCAAACAACCCCTAAGTCTCCAAAGCCATGGCTCAAATGGCTGCATCACTACCATCTCCTCTAGGTGTCTCCGCCTCATTGTCAGAAATAAATCTAGAATTCTACATCATGTGCCTAAGACGTCGAACATCTCTTATAATCTTTCGTTGATCCCTCCGAAGACCCATCATACCCTTCTCAGGAGCATCCATACAAAGAGTAGATAGACTGTGTTGTTGATCAATGTTGTTTTACAGCTGACCAAGTGCTTGGTAAACGACTGTCCCGTGATCCAATGCAACTATCATAGGTGTCCTAGGGAGTGTGATGCGTGAGGTATGGCCTCGTGCTTGCTTCAACAATGGTGGGTGATGACATGTACCAGGCTCTATCAAGTCGTACCATGGATCTCAACCTCAATCTCATCATCTTCAGCCTCTACCTCTATAGGGTCACGCGTATATCTTGAATGTGTCTTACTTTGTCTAAGAGACTTCTTTCCTAGAGGTCTATTTGGTCTTATCAATTGTTCAGTGTCCAAAGCACCAACAACCCTATCTAGAAATATGCGGGTGATCAAAGAACCAAAGGTAGAGTATCAGTAATCCTCCCCTCGTCAAAAGCTCTCCAAATGACTCAAAATATCACACGTGGCAAGTCTATCTCCAAACCCATACCAATAGCATGTAGCAAGTAGACTCATGGTGTGGAAAAAGAGGAAACATGAGTCTTCAAGTCAATGTTATAGTTGATAATTAGATTTATGAACATATAGTCCCTAACCAAATCCTTGTGATACCACAACTGGCGATTCTAGCCTTCGGGATAAAGAAGTCTGTACAACATTGAAAAAATTGATGATAGTGTGGGTACAACACTTTCAGGTCAAAGATGATAAGGATCACGTGCTACCCAGGGAAGATGTAGAGTGGTGACAATAAGGTTAGCGAAAAACTCAAATAACACACCTTGGACATAAGCCATGCAGTGCTCAATATCCTCTTTAGTGTCACAAATATGTGTGAAACTCTTTAACCATGTCCACATTTGCAAGCACTGGGGTTGCAAATAGCTCAGTCCACCCTCTCGAATCAAATAACAATGGAACAGAAGTATCACTTACCTCCTCGTGATGGAACCCTCACTATACAAGCATAGTCTGCGATGAAAACTATATCCGATACAACTCTCAGTACTACGGTATCTGAAAGTGAGCTCTACTACCCCAAACCTTGTACCCCATGCCATCTTCTTAGCTCATGGAGGCATTTTCCAAAATAATTAGTGAACTAGTGTAGATTAGTAGGATGAACTACGATCAAAACTCTAAACCCACTACATCTCACACTATAGTGTGTTTGATCACTTGGAAATGCCTTGGGTAAGGTAATATAGGAGTGAGTTCTAGCTTAGAAATGAAAGAAATGAGAATAAACCATAAAAAATCTAATTTTTAAACTCTCGGTTTAGATTCCCAATGCAGACCACTTGAGCGAGGTACATGGCTGCTTGAGCGAGGTTTAAAGTTGAGCACCTCTATTTTCTCTTGTGCAAGCCACTTTAACCCATTCCCAATCAGTCCTAATATGCATGCATGCATGGATGAATTTGGAGCAAAGTTAAATATAATTTTCAATTTTAATCATTAAATGTTGAAGACAAATAATTATTAAAATCACACAAATTCACATTTTAAAATATCCACCCAAAATTCAACATTTCAATACAATATTTTAAGGCATATTCAAAGATTTTGAACACAAATGCATGTTTATAAAGCAATATTTCTTCAGTTAGGTTCAATTTAATTCACATGTATTCGAATTTTTTTCAATTTTGATTAATTGGGTTTGTGACAAGATTAATAAATGAATTGAGTATGAGTAAAACCAATTAAAAAAATATATGACATAATTCGTTTATATATCGGTTATACACGATTCATATGCGACACGAACTCAATATAATACGATTCAGTATGTGGGACACCAAGCCAAGCATGTTGGTCGACACTTACCCTCGGAGGCTCATGTCGATTGGCACCCACCATGGGAGGATCATGCCGATCGGCACTCACTTCCCAAAGCCACCTTGGTTCGGCCACCTTACCTCCAATCAAGATACTACAAGTTCTCTTGCTCACTTGCATGGCCGTACGACCAAACGAGTTCTACTCTAATATGATTTGGCCAAGGAAAAATAGTCTTATTCTAACACTACTATGAGCTTTAAGGAGTAAATGATAGTATCAATTGTGCCACCCGACAAGTACATCTCTGACTTAAACCTAGAAGTAAGAGTCTTAATTCAATACTACTCTAAACATTGAGGAACTAGTGATAATATCAAAGGCGGATCAATCCTATTGAAACTCAGAGCCCTAACTTTAATGAAACATTACTTTCTACTACTATAAATAAAATCTTCGGGTACCAGGTATGATCGACAAAAATTCTCACAACTCATCTAAATTTTTTCTATTTATTTGCGATTTGATTTAAGCATCAAAAATGTTTTGGCCGCCTCCAACCACTAGTTCCCATGACTCTCGCTTATCTTGGATGTTGTTCGAGGCTTCACTTTCATCACCTTTGTCCACACAAGGTCATGACCAAAGGCTGCATGCATTAGACAATAATTAATAAATAAATTATATATAAGTACAATATTTTATTGTCGCGAATCTATTAAGGTCAATACTTGTTCCACTTTAACACGTGTACTCCAGCAAGAAAATGCAAATACTCACGGCCGGACTCGCAAAACCACACAAGACAAATACACATAACAAGGCCTCGCTTCAGTTTTGTTTTTTTGTTTATATTCCTCAGAGAGAGACAGAGAGAGAAGCAAAGAGGAGAGAGTAACGATGGCTTTGAACAGTGGGCTGAGATCATGCGCCTCCAAGCTATTCACTTCTGCGGAATCATTCATTCCCAAGTCGGGTCAGTACGTCTCGTTTTCTGTGTTTGGTTGCTGAGAAAATGTCGACGAAATTCTAATGGTAGATGTTTTGCTAATTATCTTGTCTATTTCGCGATTCGTTTATATCTTGTAAATTGGCCTTTGTTGTTTATGTATATGTGTTTCTGTATGTGTATCCCTGTGGTTAACTTTTTTTTTTTTTTTTTTAATTTTTTCTGACCGACCATTGGTCTATTCTGTCTGTGATTTGTCTAATGCTATTGATTCTCAGTGCTCCTGGATTGATTCATATATTAGCTGCTGAAGGAGCAAATTATTTTTTGCGCTCGCTTTTTTTATTTAGTGGCAAATGTTAGAGAGTTTAGCTTATAATTAGTTTAGTTTTATTGGGATATTTTAGTTATTTTTTTTTAAATTTTATGTTGCCCTACTATGGGCTTCCAGCCTTCCATTATGTATCTGTTAAGACTTTGACAGATTATTATAGCCGTAATATATTTTCGTTCTTTTCTCTTTTTCTCACCCCTTTTGTTTTGATCAATATTATCATAGTATTGCTCTTAGATCCTAAACACAAAAATCAACCGCAGTCGGTAAACACAAAACTCAGCCCACGAAGCCCCTTGGTTGTATTTGAGTGGATCAGTCGCTGTCTTCTGCTTGCTGAACCTCCCTCGCTGAACCAGTCAATGCAGATTTCTGGTTGCTGATTTTTCTCGTTGCTGGGTCTTGGCTTATTATTAGTTTGGTTCATTTCGCTTGGTTTTCTCGTTTGGTGCTTATCGTTTCAATCTGCTGGTGCAACTCCTGCTCCTGGGTTTGAATTCTCTTTGCTGGGTTTGCTGCTTATTCTGTGTTTGGTTTGCTTCTCTTCTACTGGTACTTTCATTGGTTTTGAGTTTGCTGGTGCAACTGCTGCTCCTTGGTTTAGTGTGTTGAATGCAATTTATTGGTTTACAATTTGATTAATTGGCCTGTTTATATCCTGATTTATTCAAGTGTGCCATTGATTTGTTTATTTGGAGAATTGCTTATTTTATTTGCCTGATTGATATCAGACAACCTTGACTTTGTGTGATCTTGGCATGGCAAGTGGGAGTTCAGATTCTCTTCAAGCTATTAGTATAAAATTAACTGGTGGAAATTATACTATTTGGGCCTATGTAATGAAAAATTTTCTGCCAGATAAAGAGATGTGAAATTATGTTGATGGAGTTGTGACACCTCCAATAGACACTAAAGCAGAAAAATATGTTGACTTGAAGAGCAAGTGGGATGTCAATAATGCCAAGATTATTACTTGGATAAACAACTCTGCAGATCAGACCATTGGTGTTCATTTGACTAAGTTTACTATTGCTAAGAAAATTTAGGATTATTTAGCCACATTGTTCGTACAGTTAAATTTTGCGAAAAGATTTCAACGAACTTGAATTTAGAGCTGCACATCAAGGTGATAGGCCCATACATGAGTTTTACTCAGTTATGATTGGATATTGGGATCAGTTGACACTTTTTGAACCTGCTGAATTGAGTACTAATAAGGCATACTGCACTTTTAGAGAGGAGCTGAGGTTGGTGCAATTTTTTATGACATTCAAAGATGACTTTGAGGGGCTTCGTAGATCGATTCTCCATCATTATCTATTACCATCAATTGATGCAGTGGTTAATGAGCTTCTAACTGAAGAGATTTGTCTAAAGACTATTTCTAGAAAGGGTCTTCTTTCATTACCTCATCAAACTATATTGGCTATACCCCCTAAGTGCCTTTTAGTTCTCAGGGCAAGTATCGAGGTTGAGCGACTTCAGATGAATGCAGCTTTTGTCATGAGAAAGGTCACTGGAAGGCCCAATGTCCAAAATTGGCAAGTAAGAATGTCAGGGGATCGTTGAACCAATCCTTTAAGCCTAAAGATTGCCATATAGCCGCAGTTGCATCACCCGTGGAGGAATCTCCTTCATCGGCTTTTAGCCTGAGTATGATTGCTGATCAATTGTAGAAGCTACTTTATCTCCATCAACTTGGTGCTCTCAGAGTCTTACCCTTAATAGGTTCATTCACTTCAGATATATCTTGCACCGTCTGGGTCTTTGACTTAGGTGCGACATCATATGACTAGTAGTTTTTTTTTATTTACATCTATTATTTCTCCTCCCTCTGTATCTGTATTTGTAGCCAATGACACTCAAATGTTTTTGGCAGGTGTTGGGACAGTTATTTCTTCCCATCTTAGACTTCCTGATGACTATTACATTCATCAGATCACTTTGAATTTAATCTCAGTAAGTCAATTATTTGATTCAGGATTTTTGGTTCATTTTTCCTCTTCTGGTTGTGTTGTGCAGGATCCACAGTTCAAGAAACTGATTGAGACAGGTCATAAAAAAGGAGGAATGTATGTGTTGGAGGAGCTCCATGTTCCAGAAGTTGTTGCCTTTAGTGTTGACTTATCGCCTTGGTCATGTTTTTCATTTTCGTTTAAAATTTTTAACTTCTACTAATAGATTGGGCAGTTTAGAGAGTCGTGACATTTCTGATTGTAGTGGATACAAATTGGCTAAATTTTGTGTATTACCTTTCAATAAAAGTGTTACTTGTTCCTTTGTACCATTTGATCTTATTCATTTTGATATATAGGAACTGGCTCCTGTTCTTGTACAAGGAGGGTTCAGATATTATGTTTTATTTATTGATGATTATACGAGGTATTGTAGGATATACTTTGATAAAATGTCGGTCAGAATTCTTTTCAATCTTTACTGCTTTTCGTAACATGGTCCGCACTCAATATTTCGTTATCATTAAATATTTTTGATGTGATTAGGGAGGTAAATACAATTTTATTTCTTTTTGTGATCTATTGAAATCTGATAGTACACTTCATCAATCATTTTGCATTAACACACCTGAGCAGAATGGTGTTGTTGAACGTAATCATTGTTATATTCTAGAGATAGGATGCTCCCTTCTAATATCCGCACATGTTCCCACCTCATTTTGGGGGGAAACAGTTCTTGCAGCAGTTCATTTGATCAATTGCATTCCTATTGTTCTCACCTCTGGAGTCTCCCCATTTAAAAAATTGTCTGGTAAGCAACCTAACTATTTTTCTTTACGTGTATTTGGTTGTATTTTCTTTGTTTTGCTCCCTAATGTTCTTCGTACCAAACTTTCTGCTCACTCAACTTTTATGTCTTTCTTAGTTATGGTGAGGGTCAAAAAGGGTATCGTTGCTATGATTTTATTACCCACAAACTTTATGTCTCTTGCCATGTTGTCTTTATGGAATATATTCCTTTCTTTTCATTTACATTTACTTCTTCCCCACTGAATAAGTCTGACCTATTATACATTGATCATTTTCTTGCTAATGCTTCTCACGACTCATATGTTGGCAATTTACTGTGTTAGATCCTTCTCGCTCTGAGTTGCCTATTCCTCGTCACTCTATTATGTATACATATGTTCGCAGAAATTTAACTATCTCCTCTACGGATGTGGTGCCTCTCCTTTTTCCTCCTGCCACCCAATCAGGTTCATATATTGTGGATCATATGCTGCGCTATCTTTAGTGCTCTCGTAAATATCCAGACAGATTTAGTTGGAGTAACACTTGTTATTCATCTGACTTTTATTCTTTCCTTACTTCTATTCACTCTCTATCTGAACTCACCTCCTATAAGGAGACTTTACTTGATCCATTTGGAAACAGGTTATTGATGAAGAGTTGTATACCTTACATAAAACCAGAGCATATAAACTAGTGCCTTTAACACTTGGTAAATGCATAATTGATTATAGGTGGGTTTATAAGATAAAAATCAAGTTTGATGGTTCTGTGGAACGATATAAAACTCGATTAGTAGTCAAGAGTTTTGCACAAGAGTATGGTCTTGACTATGAAGAGACTTTTGCCCCTATTGCGAAGATGATCACTGTTTGTGCCGTGATTGCAGTTGCTGTCATTCGCCAATAGAGTTTGACTTAGGTAGATGTGAAAAATACCTTTCTTCATGGAGATTTAAGTGAAGAGATTTTTATGACTCCTCTTGGATTATCTCATGGTTCTAGTAAAGTATGTCGACTTCACCGAGCTTTATATAACCTTAAACAGGCTCCCAGGGCATGGTTTGTTAAATTTTCTTCGGTTATTTGTGACTTAGGTTTTCGCGCCAGTGACCATGATTTTGCTCTTTTTTTACGGTCTATTTCCTCAGATTCTATTATATTCTTATTATATTTTGATGATATGATTATTACTAGTGATAACATTGCTGGTATATGCTTTTTGAAAAATCAGCTGCAGTAATATTTTGAGATGAAAGATTTAGGGTAGTTTAGGTATTTCTTGAGCATTCTGATTACTTCCTCTCTTAAAAGTTATTTTCTCTCTCCGTCCAAGTATACTTTGGATGTTATTCAACGAGCCCGTTTGTTAGATAATCGAACAGTTGAAGTGCCTTTAGAGCTCAATATTTGTTACTATTCTTTTGATGGTACTCCCTTATCTAATCTTATACTCTATCATGCTATTGTTGAGAGTCTAGTATATCTTACAATCACTCGTCCGGATATCTCGTATTCTGTTCATGTTGTTAATCAATTTGTTGCCTCACCCACCACTGTTCATTAGGTTGTTGTTATTCTTATTCTTTGGTATCTACGATGTATTCTACATCAAAGTTTATTATTTTTCTCCTCTTCCTGTATGGAACTTAGGACTTATTTTGATGCTGACAGGGCTAGTGACTCTATGGATCATAAGTCTACCACTGACTTTTGCCTTTTCTTCAGTGATTCTCTTATTTCTTGAAAAAGTAAGAAGCAAATTATTATTTCTTATTTATTTGCTGAAGCTGAATATCGTACTATGACATCTATTGCAATTGAGATAGTTTGGTTACAATGTCTCTTTGCTAATCTTGGCATCAAGTTATGTGGATCAACTCCTATGTATTGTGACAACACCAGTGCTATTCAGATTGCTCATGACTCAGTCTTTCATGAGCGCACAAAACATATTCAGATTGATTGTTATTTTGTGCGTCATCGTCTTCAATTGGGAACCATCTCTCTTCCTTTTTTGCCTTCAACTTTGCAGTTAGTGGATTTTTTTACAAAATCTCATGCCATTGCATGTTTTCAATTTCTTCTTAGCAAACTCTTGATATTCTCTGCTGTCACATCATAAATTTGAGGGAGGGTGTTAAAGAGTTTAACTTATAATTAGTTTGGTTTTATTAGGGACAATTTAGTCATTTTTTTATTTTATGTTGCCCTACTATATAAGGGCTTCTATTGTGTATCTCTGGTTAAGGCTTTGACAGATTATTATAGCCGTAATATATTTTCGTTCTTTTCTCTCCCCTTTGTTTTGATCAATATTATCAGCAAACACCCAGAAAATGAGAAGAACATCTAATAACTTTTAAGAATGGATCAAACAAAATCCAAGTAGACTACTTCTTAGAAAAATGGATCGATTAGCATGTAAAGATTGTAAAATTATTTCGGGGGTGTCCAAAAAATCCTCGAGACGGGTCACATGTTCACATCTAAAAACCTAAGAACCACAAACTATGAAGCATTATTCATTCCAAAAATTCCCAATTTAATGATTTCCTGTACATCAACAAGGATAAAATTGGCACGAAAATAGAGCTGGAATTCACAGGATCATGGAATTAAAAGAAAAAATGACAACTAATTAAATTTCAACTTTAAAGACATGACACTCCCAAGTCACATATTCTTTAAGCAGCAAAAAAAAGAAACCAAACACCTAAGACAAACTAATGTTCTCCACTATAGTTGGAGCAACTATATAGAATTTTAAATTGAATTAAAAATAAAACCACAAAGAAGAAAATACCAACATAAATCATATCTAATTCAATAATAATTCAAACCAAAACCAAACCAAACCAAACCAAAAATTCTGAACTAATAATTTGAATACACGTGACAGTTACCTGGAGGGAGAGGATGGTGCTCCTCTTTTGATGGAAAGCTTGAAGAAGAATCAAAGCTGATCAAATGCTCAATAGTCTTATATGGTCAATTTTCTTGAGTAAGTAAATAGAGTAGAAAGCAACATAACAAATCCTGGAATGCAGACTTATTAGCAAGTTGAGAAGAGATTGTAAATCTTAATAAAAAAATTGAAAAATAAACAAAATCAGTGTGTGTGTGTAATTGTAGTCATAGTTGTTAGTATCGTACGATACGCGATACGTCACGATACAGGCCTAAAACGATATGGATCGTAGTTATGTATCGTTTTTGCGTTGTATCGTCCGATACACAATATGTTTTTACGATACGATACGTATTGGTACGATACACGCAAAACCTGTTTAATTTTTTTTTTGTGGGATGGAACTACGTCGTTTTGTCTAAAAGAGATTGATTTTTTATCCCTCCCACTCAAAACGACGTCGTTTTGAGGCTAGGGTTTAGAAAAAAAATAAATCCCTCTTTTCCGCTCATTCGATCTTCGTTGTCTTCCCTTCTGGCCTGGGTGTTCTTCACGAGCGACGACTGACGACGAAGACACAAGACCTCACGATCGACAACGATGACGAAGACACAGGAGCCATCGACGAAGGCAGCAGGCCAAATCCTGTTCTCCGTCTTCTCTCTTCTCCCTGTTCTTCATCAACGAAGGCAGCAAGCCAAATAAATTTTAGCTTCTTCAACTACTCCAGGTAACCAAGCCAAATCCAGGTGTCCTTCTGTTCTTTATTCTTCGATCTTCCCTCTCTCTCCTCTCTGTTGTTGTGGATGAAGAACCCCAGTCTAGCTCCTCTCTCTCTTCTCTTTGTTCTCCGTATTCTCTCTCTTCTCCCTATTCTTTATCGACAAAGCTGCCTTGGATCGAAGCTGCAGCTGCCTTCTTCTTCTTCCTTCTCCAGCTACTCCAACTAAGTGCATTGTAAGTAATTCTGTTAATTTATTTACAAAGCCAAATAATTTTTTTTTTGTATAAAAATTCTGAATTTTGATTAATTTTTTTGTAGTGGATTATGTTGATGACTTGAATAGTTGGTGGAGTATTTAATGAAATGCTATGTTTTTATGAGTGTATGATTTTTTTTCAAAGGTATATATATTTTATTATTATTTATTTAAAATTGCACCGTATCTTGCGATACACGATACGATACAATATTTGTATCGTACGATACAATATTTGTATCGTATCGTACGATACGCCTTCCGATACATGATTTGATAACTATGATTGTAATATGTATATATACTTCTACACATTGAAAGCAAATAGATGTGGATATCAAAACAGAGTAATGTGGAAGAAAAGAGATACATCATAACTCAGAATGGAAATTTTATATGTTCATTTAGATGACAACTCAATTGCAGATTTGTTTGTACTCTCTCTCAAACTATATAATGAAGTGTGTTCTTAAATGCTAGAAGAACTTGAGACCAAAGGTGGAGCCAAAGGTGTAGATGATAGAGGAACAACTTGATTGTCTCCATCATTTTCATCACTAATTTGATCACCATCACCATCTTCATTCTCATTGTCCTCGTAGTCTGGTTTCATTTTCAAGGTCATGATCACCATCATTGATATGACTACTACTTTCATTGGCACATGCCTCACAGACTGAGACAGTAGGTCCAAGCTTGGAGCCAGAACTGGTCCATGGAGTGGGAAACTGGCAAGCATGGCAGTGAAGAGTTCTTGAGTACTTGGCAACTAAGAAGTTGGCTGTGTGGACCTTGGCATTGCAGGCCCAACACAGGCTGCTTGGTCTGAATCACCGTATATTCTTGCAATAGTGTTGCACAACTCACATTTCATCATTGTTTTCACCTGTCTTTAGCCTCTCACTTGTCAAATTCTCTCAACCTTTTGAGTTGTCAAATGCATATTTTTTCCACTTCCTTGCTCTTTTTGAATCTATTTATCTGTTTCCTGGGGATTCCAGCCAGTTTCCCAGTTCCATAAAGGTCGGGATACTGAAATGTTTATGAATTGATTGCATGGTTTTATTAATCATAATGATATGGTTCATAGAAGTTTTACTCAAATTTGTTTGTCCAATGGATAAACAAATTAACTTATTAAACTAATAATTTTATTGATTTGATAAGTAAAATTGAATAAAAAAATTTAATTAAAGTAACATTTTTTTTTGGTTAAATTAAGGTGTTTTGTAGGAGGTGGGTTTTATGAAAGAAAAGATCTTTGACAATTGACCAATGAATGAGAAACTGTGAGGTGATTTGTATAGTGAATTTTATTATTATCGTAAGAACAATTCAAAAGAAAAAGGTTTTAACCCTTTTCTATAAAATGAAACCAAAATTGATAGGCTAATCATTATCATAGATTGACAGGAGACACATCAAAGGAAATACAAGAAGAGAGTGTTGTGCAATGAGTGGACTTTGGATAACATCACATCCATTGGTCCTAAGCAAGAAAGAAACACACACACATGAGAGAGAGAGAGAGAGATGTCTTTTGTTTGATATTCTCTATATTATTTTAATTAGAATGATCAGCATATTGGATACAAAAAAAATTCTATAGAAGAAAAGAATTATCAAACAACACTCCCAAGTCATATATTCTTTAAGCATTAAAAAAGAAAGAAACCAAACACCATCAAAAGACATAAACTAATGTTCTTCACTAGTGTTGTAGCAACTAAATAGAATAATAAACTGTATCAAAAACGAAATCACAAAGAAGAAAACACCAGCATAAATCATCTCTAATTTAGTAATAATTACTACCAAAAACAAACCAAAAATTCAGAACTAATTATTTTAACACACGTGGCAGTTACCTGGCTAGAGGGAGAGGACGGAGGTCCTCTAGCAGTGGAAAACTTGAAGAGGAAACGGTTAAATTTTGGAGGAAGTGTATAAAATTAGAAGAGAAAATGCGAGAAGGATTTGTTAAGAAAAACTCATTATCTGCGGATGTAGTATAGTAATGCCAAGACACAATAGGCAGCCGACGTCTAACAGAGAGGGGCGAAGGCAAATAGGATTTCAAAGAATTTTTTGGACAGGAAAGGGCGATTGTAATTAAGATTTCGAAGAAGCTCAACAACCTTTTTTATCAAAAAAAATAGTTGTTGGGATGTGTATAACCACAACCAAAGCATTAAAAGAAAGAGAAAATAAATGCCTAATTAAAATTTATAATGGGTAACTGATTTTTGTAATTGAATACATGTAATTAAATAAATTTTGGGAGAGAGAGACTGAGAGTGGGACGGTGAAGGGGTGGTGTGCTCTTCTCTGACCTGTGAAAACGCAGGAGAGAAAGAGATAGAGAGGTAAGATGAAGAGAAGGGGCTATGATTTTGTAGGAGAGAGAAAAAAGGGAGAGAAAGTAGGAGAGAGGGAGAGCGTAACGACTGAGAAGTAAATCGTAGGTTTGTGAATTTGTGAGAGGAAATAGGGAGAGAAAGTAGGAATAGAGGAAGACAGGTAGGTTAACGGCTAGAGAGGTTAATGATAGACAATTAACTTTGGAGGATATGGATGACATAATTGTAATGTTAGGGGACAAAATTGAAAAAAAATTATTTTTCACATATTTTGGTATTTTAAAATAGTATAGATATAGATTATAGAGGGATGAAATTGATGAGTCATACAATAAAACTATGGGAAAGGGTCATTGAACGTCGCCTAAGAGTTGAGATTACAGTATCAAAAAATCAGTTTGGGTTTATGCCTAGTCGATCAACTATGGAGGCTATATATTTATTGAGGACACTCATAGAAAAGTATAGAGAGAAAAAAAAGTCTATATGGTATTTATAGATCTAGAAAAGGCGTATGATAAAGTGCCTAGAAAAGATAGAATACAAAATGACCGTATTAGAGAACTGGTAGGAGTAGCTCTAATTGAGGATAAGTTAAGAAAGAATAGATTAAGATGGTTTGGTCATATTTAACGAAGGCCGATAGAGACATTGGTTTGAAAAAGTGATAGAATTTATTTTAATGGTACTAGAAGTAAGGGTAGACTTAAATTAACATTAAACAACATAATAAAAAAATTTATGAAAATATTTAACTTAAATAAGCGTATAATGCATGATCGAAATGAATGACGAAGACAAACTCATATAGTTGACTCCAAATGATTGGGACATAAGATTTAGTTTCGTTTTTTTTTTATTTCCTTTTGACATGAGGAAATGGTTACAAGGTTTGCTATATGTTACCCCCATCTCGGTGAAATGCATACAGAAGACTTGAGACCCATAAATAGCTGTAGTTGTGGATGTTGCAGGTGGTCTCAATGCCACTTTGTGCTTATGGCTTGGTTCATTATATTTATTTGATTCAACTTTTCAATTTCCTTTTCTTTTTATGATTTCCTATAGGGTTTGAGACAAATTTTCATTTTTTTTTATTTTTATTCAACTAGGAGAGAAAATACTAGAAATTTTGACTTGACTTTATCGTGTTTAATTACTTTTTTTTCAATAAAAGTTATGAACCAAATAGTTTTAGAAACCATGAAAGATTGTGGTCCTGCCTTGGAGTTTATGATTCAAAATACTTGGTTTTGATTTTGATGATATTACCCATTAGCTCTCCTCATTTGCTATATGTTTTGCATTAGTATTGCCAAATGTTGAAATGGTCCGGTCCAAAAGTAATTTCGTTGAAGAATTTGGAAATACATTGTTATGTCTCAATTGGGTTGACTATATTCGTGGGCTTGTTGAAATTTAAATGTGTGATATGTTGTCCCCATGCTTTAGACTTGTCGTGTCCTTAATATAGGCTTTTTGACACTACTGCTTGTTATTAAAGGGATGTCGATAAAACTTTCTGACCACATTCTCTAAGATACTGGATGGCTGGGGTTACATTATTGAAGCAATTAACATTTGCTTATGGTTATTAAAATTCCGATCCGGATCGTAAGATCTTACGATCCGATATAGGCAAGTAGATCCAAGTCTTTTGTAGAATCCCTAATTCAGAGGATCTTGATTCAAATCTTATAGGATCATAGGATTTGGATCTGGATTATGATTATATCGATCCTAATTTTGTGACGCCCCAGAATCCGGAGGTCATTTCTCAATCCGTTGATCACCTATCAACTCACAGAAATATCCGAGTGTACCGCATAACCCGATACCACGTCGTTACATCCCATTCATCGGGATCATAACTAAAACAAACTTTGAACAATGTCTCCTTTGTACGGTAGCCCTACCCAATCCGTAATCTGTATACATATAGATCATACAACCATTCCAAGGTCCATATACCAGAATATAAGCTTATTACTATTCCTTTACATCATCTAAGGAGGAACGTTGAAGAGGTGAAGGCCCCTCAGTGTCACATTTTAAAATTTCAAGTTTTGGGAATAGGAACCGGTATCTCGTGTACGTGGTATCGGTACTTGGGCCTTCGGTCTGATAGGTACTAGTACTTGAGCCCACTGTTTGTTAGGTACCGGTACCTCTGTGTCTTGGTACCGATACTTGAGCCACTGGAATCCAGGTACGGGTGCTAGTAAGTCTAGGTACTTGTACTTGGGACAATCGATAGTGTGGTATCGGTACTTAATCACTTAGGTACCAGTATCTGAGCCTAGATTTTTTCAAATTTCACCACTTTTCAACCCTTAGCCATCCAATATCATACAACATTCAACACAATCATTCATGTACATGAAAACATTATCCATTAGAGTCCCATTACATGATCTATTACCAATATACAAGTTCAAAACAAATTTACATATTTGATTTACAAAATGCAATTCAAAAGCCGCATTCCGGCTCCGTTATCAACAAAGACCCAATTGAGGGCCGTCCACCGATGCTTGTGCAACACTTGAAATATGTTCCCATAAAGGGTGAGCTACGCTTAATAGGGTATTTCCTAAAGAGGTTATTCCCCAATCTAGATGCATATGAAATGTCACATGCAATTCATCACATCAAACAGTCATTCAAGGACAAATATTTTGTAAATGAGTGCCACACTTTTCATGCTATGTCATGAGATGAAAGTCACACATGCAATGTAACCTGAGCCTTCTACTGACTCCCATAACACATGCAATGCTATGAGTATTCATCCGGGCATTCCAAGCCCTTGCTATTGATGTTAGATATCCAATGATCATTTTGTAAAAATCTCCGGTCTTTCTTGAGGTGGGTATTTATGGATTTTCACCAACGAGTACCCAACTGACACGACATCTGTGGACTTCCACCAACAGCTTCGATTAGGCCGACACACTTTATGACTCAATATCAATGGGAGTGCGTATTTGACATTATCGGGTCTTACATCCGAGAGAGAATTTAGCCCTTGTTGCTAACCCCGACCCTTGTTCTCAAAGCAACCCGTGCGATTTAGTTGAACTTAAGTCCAACTGTCTCACATATTAATCCACCAAGAATGGTGTTTGATTAAAATTATGTACACACCCCTAATCATATCGAATGCTCACGAATGCGATGCTATTCGTGCATATGTAAATGTAATGTACAATTGCAATTACAATATCATGTTCATCATATCATGAACATATTATGATCATATTCAATGTTCACAAACATTTCTAATTTCTCAAATGTTAATTATTTTATAAAGCATATAATTACATTTCGCAATCTCCACCAAGCATGTCATATAATTTTCATCTCAAAAAACACACTTAATTATTTATAGGCATTTTATCAAACCATTATAAGGCACAAAGATTATGTAAACATATTGCATGTCCAAAACATCACATTCTTCATGAAATTCATAACCAAGCCATTTCATCAAACCCCATCATGCAAGATTTGGTTTTAAACATATTCTTATACCCATTTTCATATTCTAGCAATTCTAGGTGTATGTTATACATGAGATTCTATTTCTAACACTCTACCCATTTCATATTTCAATTCTAAGTTAGAAATAAATCTAGTTAGGGAAGAAGCTCCAAAAATTTCAAATCCAGCTTCAAAGCTTTGGTTCTAAAAATCCCATCTTGGAGATCTTGATGAAACTCACAATCTTTGGTATGGACGCGTAGCTCTCGGCGCGTAGAACAACTTTTGTTCTTGGCCCGAAGAGATCTGATAGTTGTATATCCGTATATCGAAGAACGAAGCTTGGAGAACTTTGAGATTTCTCCTTTTCTCTCCCTCTCTCTCTCTCTCTTTTCCGAAAATGGGCTGAAGACCCTTGTTATATTCTTTAAATACTTGACCCATAATATGTCACACGTTCCTCTACGAGTGGTCCAATTTAATTCCGAATCAATTAAATCTTGTCCCGTATTATGTTCCGGATATTTTTATTAAACTAACGTTAAATTATTTATCAGGTTCTGCGAATAAAATTTGATCACATTTAATTTAGTCGCGCGACATCCGTTTGCCTCGTTAAACGCTAACAATTCGACTGTTTCGGAATTCAACGAAAATTGATTGAGTTGCTAGATTTTGTGATACGAATCCAACGGTGAAGTACATTTTGTCACCCGAATTTTAAAAAAAATTGAGTTTTTAACTTGCATTGTAATGGCTAATTACCATTTTACTCTTTTTAAAAAAATTTTAATTAATTTTTTTCTCGAGTTTTACAATCTTCCCTCCCTTGAAGGAAATTCATCCCTGAAATTACACACACAAATTCATATACAATAACATGCATATGCAACGGGCCACATAATACTCTATGACTACAAGAAATGTACCTCTATTCTCGAATAAGAACGGATAAGCAGCATGGATAGTGTCCTTATGCTCTCATGTTGCCTCCTCTATACTACGGTGCTGTCACAGCACCAGCCTCAGTCTTGCCACGCAAATCTTATTCTCGACTATCCATGATACATACTGGTCCTTCTTGATGGTCCCAACCGCATCAACAACCAGTTCACCCCAATCCACCACGTGTTGGATCTAGAGTGTACTTTTGAAACATGGAGACATAAAACACCGCATGAACAACAAATAGATTTGGCGCCAAACGGTAAGCAACTGTGTCAACCCTCTCGAGTACCTCGAATGGCCCAATATACTTCGGCGACGTCGCTCACTTCATGAATCTAACCATTTCCCTCTTAGGCATAACCTTCAAGAAGATATGATCTCCGACTTCAAACTCCAGTGGTCTTTATCGCCAGTCGGCATAGCTTTTCTGCAGTTGTCTAGGTCATTTCCTTTGTCCTAAACATAAAAATGCATAAGAAGGGTTAAATGATGTTACTTTAAAGCTTGATCTCCTCTCTTTAATGATATTTTTGGATCTTTAATTTTTTAGCCATGAAAAAGGTTGAGGTTTATAATGGACTCCACGAAATTACCCAATTACAAAATGTGATCTAACAATCTTCCACTTTGGCAATTTCGTGCTAAAATACACAAGTTAAAAATTAAGATTACAACTCACAAATCATTGAACAAAATGAATTGTAAATCTAATTTTAACTCTCATATACCTGTTCTTTATCTAAGTACAAGATCTACTTTTTTAGATGAAGCTTGAAGATCGTAGTCCTGCACAACATCACTCAAACCAAAACCTCGTGAAAAACATCATATGTTAGAGAAATACATAACATAATGACAAGTTTCAAAATCACCAAGTTAAACATAGGGCATACTAACTTACCCAAAATGCTTGAGAACCTATTGATTTATCAATATGAAACACTGAAAGTTCTCCCCTTTGGTGTTCACAAGTAAAATAACAAGTGAAAAATTAATGAAGTGTAAGATAGGTGACTTCATACCAAGTTTGAAAATTTGCTTCCCTTGAGTATTTGAACAAACTCCCCTTTTCTATGTTTACTAGCAACATATCTAGAGTAGTTAAGAGTAAAGCAGTAAAAGTTGTTTATTCAACAGAACTTCAACTTTCCAGTCTATCCTCTATATTCATCTCACCTTCTGAAAGTTAAGATAAAAGTACTTGAACTCACCTATTCTTCTTTGCAAAATCCTACAATATTAACAACTCACTTTTGATTTTCAACCTATTTAATGCTCAGATTATAGTTTCTCTTGAATGTTGTGAATCCCTAGTATTGTGGTTTTGTTCTTGGGATATATTTAATAAAGAAGAGATGTATTGTCTTTAGATCACCTCGTTAATAAACATTTTACAAATTTTTTGATAGATTCTTTATCAAATGTATTGCAACATTCTTTTGGTAGGTATCCAATATGTGTGGTGAAATTACAATGCAGTTAGCTTGAGATTGAAAATGAAGAAATAGCTTTAAAAGATGTGATTTACTTTCCCATTTTTTATGAATTTTTGTACTATGTATAATGCTCCACAGAAGACACATCAAAATTTTAGTCACTACTTTTCCAGAAAGGACTCGTATCCACAATTTACTAGTTTTGGTTAAAGCCCAAAAACTAGTGAAATTCTGCCTTTTTTCTCTTCAAGTTGGAAAATCTTTCTGATTTTTAGGCATCATATCAGGCGTTGGAACCTCCTACTGATCTCACAGCAAGTTGGGAAGCATCACACTACATACTATCTGAAACTTGTTAAATACGACAATGTTCATGGACAAGCTTACAGATAGCTCCGTGGAGAGACTTAAGTTCCATAATTAGCTGATTATCCTACTTGTACCTTTCAAGGGTGCATTTGTAATTAGATTTATGGAAGTACCATCTTCAATGGTCATTAAGGTAAAAATGGCCTGGTGCATGGTGCATGAGGCACCCGCTACTACAAGGTCTGGAAAGGGTAAGATACAAGCCTTACTCCCCCATATGTGGAGAGGCTATTTCTGCCACTCGAATCCTTAAGGCACTGGTCACAATGGAGCAACCTTATGCTCCGCCAAGACCCAACCTTCCTAAATGGCAAGACCCTGTTACATTGTAGATTGTGATTAAAGGGTTCATTATACAAAACCTGTTCACCACGCAAAATTTTCTCCAGTTTTACTGAAATTCAGTAGTTCTATACGTATAAATATTTTGTTTTTACTTGTTCCTCAGAAGAAATATTTTGTTTTAAGTTAGTCGGATGCAATTTCTGTAATATGTAATTAGCTTTGAAGCTTCTAGTGCTGTCCTGTATCTGTCAAAAGATGTGATGATTAAATGAAATTGGACAAAGACCCCAGGTCTCAAACTCAAAATAACCATGGCATGCCATTGTTGGTAATTGCAAAACTTGCATAGCAGCGAAACATGAGAATGTGTCCCAGGTAGATTCTTATAATGATGTCGAATTTCATCATGCATTTGAAGTTGATCCTAAAAAGCATGAGAACAGTAGTTGACTACCATTTGTTTTTCCTCATATTTTTTGTGATTAGCATTAGGCAATGTTTCCCCTTGTGACCAAAGTTTAACTATGTTCTGCACTTTACTGCTGTTCTTTTATGTAATGTGAATATCTGACCTTACCAGAAATAGTGGCAATCTGTTTTGTGTTGTACCAGTGAACAGAGGGTTCCATTCAACAGGTGTGAAGAGAATGGGGGGAGGACATGGCCATGCCCATGACGAGCCATTCTACCTTCATGCAAAACACATGTACAACCTGGATAGGATGAAATATCAGAAGCTGACTATGACTCTTGGTGTCTTCACTGCCTTCAGCATTGGTGTTGGAGTCCCAGTCTATGCTGTCATCTTCCAGCAAAGGAAGACAGCTTCTGGATAACTCATAATGTTGGTTTTCATATGCATCAATAACAGAGTACTTTGGCATGCCTTGTAGTAGACTATAGCAACAAGTCTGGTTGGTTCAAAGAAAATAATACTTTGCATCGTTTGCTTTGCCACGTGGTGTTTGCTTTATATGCTTCAACTTGGAAATAGTTTTCTTCATACTGCATTCTTAATAGTACTTCCTGGTTTTCTTCCAAAGTAGCCTTAGTTGCTGGTTCCAATTTTGTGCTTGTCTTGACAGCCAAACCTGCAAGCACTGCTTGTCAGAAGCATTTTTAAGCATTGGACATATTGTTTAAGAGAAATGTTGATTATCCTTCATTGTTGAGTAATCATGTGGCCGGCTTAATGTTTGGAGGAGTTGATCACAAATCTATTAGACAAGTTCTTTGGTGATAGGGACTAGTCTCTTCCTTGTTTCTTCTTGTCTGTTTCTGTTCCTTTGTTTTCCCAAAGATGCCACCGTCCCCATCCCTACCTGGAACGTCTGAAGTAGATATGCATTTCTCCACCCCTTATGTTTTCTGGTAAGTGGATAGGCTCTCCATGGACTTTTCAGATGGCTTACTGTTGAAGTAGGCCGAGTTTATTCTGTCCTCTACTATGCTCGAGTGGGTTGTCAAATAAGGGGGGATACTGCGATTAGTTTAATGGTGGTTTGAACTCAAAGGGAAAGCCAAGACATTTGGAAAATTTACAAGGTTGACTCTTAGAATCCAGAAAACATCTTTCGAGTCCATTGTGGCAATGGCTTTTCTCATAAATGTGTCTTAATATATAGTCGGTTTTTGCAATGGCTTTACTTTCTTATGTTGGTCACTAGATGTGGAGTTATTTAGTTTACGGTTTTCTCATTTACGAGGCTCCCCATTTGCATGGTGCTACACTTTGAGAATACAATATGATAATCTTTTTAAGTATTCTCATTCTTTTCTTTAAATATTTTGTTTTGTGCTTTTATTTTATTTTTTTTACTTGTTTGAGCTTTCTTTCTAAATCACAAATATATCACATTACATTGCTTACATATTGTAAGATGCATTTAGATCATGGTTTTCAGCGAAGTTATTAGCATCAAGCTAAGGAATCGATAGAAAGAGAGCAATGAAATCTTTCCCCTAAAGTAATGCTGCAACAGTTGATCTGGTTATGGGTATTATCCATTCTTAACCTTGTCAAAACTGCCACAGGCCTTAGTTAGGCAAGATTATGGCACCTGGGTAAACACAGCAAGACGACAAGTTATTTTTGTCAGATAATACATAAAATGCGCCCACTTTCCCTGGTGCATCAACGGAGATGGAGAGGATTTCGACTAGGGGAAGGATATCTATTTGCTCTTGCATTATCCAACCTTTAGATCAAAACATTCATAGAAAATCGAGTCTTAACACAATAAATATCTTCATTAAGGGCAGAACACCAGCTTAAATTACTCGGGTCCAAAAGGGTTGCATAAAAGTTCAGTTACCAGATGGCAATTATGTGGGGTTTTAATAATCTGCTTCCTTGGGATTTTTGGGGGATTCGGATTTCTTAAAATACTTCACAATTTTCCTCAACAATAAATTACCCACGGATAGTGACAGAGATACCGCTCCCACAAAAGAGAAAAAAATGTATTAAAAAGATCGGAGTCCCCGTTTAGGTATGTTTAAAACCTCATGTGGATTGACTTGTTCCATGAACTTACATCACATTCTTCCTCATTAAGTTCCACCATCCTACCCGAGAGCAAATAATTTGGAAAACTAGGGAAATTTGGCCTAGCTATCATTCCACACAGGCAACATCTTTTTCACTTACAAGCAAACCAGCATCTGCTAAGGTACAAAGCCACCCCCAAACTATCACCAACCAGCTGAAATAACCTTACAGAACTTCGAAAGCTATTCAGAAATAAAGCAGCTCAGCCCCAACCTAAGGAGAGGCCAAAGAAAACTAAGGACTCTCGGAAAGAGGGACACCTCGGTGGAAAGAGATTCTGAAAGGTGCTACAGGTTGGCCAAAAGATTAAAGGAAACAGTTGTTGGAGAAACTCCCACCTCATGACTCAATGTTTTTGACACAGCTGTTTCTTTGGCTTTTCTTCATCCTTGTGGATTAGCAGATTGGGAAATGGAGAAAATATTTTTTGTACAGGGACAATTACAGAAGAATCCTTGAATGCAGATTACCGTCCTTCTTGTTTTCGAATTTTCTTTGGATGGGATGGGAGGCGAGGGCAGGAAAGAATATAATGGGTTTTCTTGCCTCATATTTTACTTGCTTCTGGCTGACTTCTTGTTTTTCGAGGTTATCCCGACTTTCTATTCAAGCTCCTCTAACCATAATTCTACTAATTAAGTTCAGGCAGTCAATCATTTAAGACTTTGATCTGGAACCCAAAAGTCTTTAACTCCTAAACATTACCCACTTTGCATTGGACTTCTACTCAAACGAGGAACATTCATCCAACATATAGCTCTAATTATTTCCAATAAATCCTTTTTTTTCCTCTCAGCTATCCAGGAATATACGCACAAGATATTGGATGTAGTGTTACTGAAAATAAGTATTGGAGAAAATTCCATGCACATTTATTCTCCTCCAGAATTAAATCATCATTTTTTTTTACATTGGGAATAATGTTTGGCTTGTCACATTTACTCCAACATGGCAAAAATTATATAAATTGGAATGAAGAGGTAAAGTGCTGCTTCATGAGCCAAGAATGTTGGATAATTTTAGTGGCGCACAATCTTAAATTTATTTTAATTTTTTTATTTTTCGAGAGCGAGAGGGAGAGAAAATTGAACCCTTGACCTAAAAAACGTAAAGTCTTTACAAAGAAAAGAGTACCATTAGACCAAAGACCCGTTGGTGCACAATCTCAATTGCTCACCAAGGTTTGAAGCAAAAGTATCAAAATGTTCTTATTAAAAAGAAAGATGCTAGTCCCAGCAGATGCTAATGTACACAATCAAACTTGGAATCAAACCTACAAGAATAGAAATCGCAAAAAAATACCGTTTTGTACTGAAACAAAACCCTCACCTTCTGTTTATCTCTACTATTTTGTGCCATTTTCTCTAGCTTCATATTTAGCTTGTCAGCAAGTCCAGGAGGAAGATCTCTTTATCACCGGCTTCATTTGCCTGTCCTCTTCCAGGGAGATCATCCCCAAGTGTGAGGGATCCTCCAACATCATCTTTGCTACCAAATATCCTGCGATAGACCATGTCTGGTATTTTCTTGCTTGTTTACCTACATATCTTCCAAGTTTTCCGTCGTAATATTCTGGCCAGCTGTCTTCGAGCAGACGGCTCTCTGCAAGATCAATTGCTCGTCTTGCGATCTGGGGTCTTCCCGTTTTGATGCAGGCAGCCGTTAGCAACCACAGAAGCACTGCAGTCAGGACAGAGTAAATAAAAGTTTGCAATAGAGAAGACAACAGCTAGCAATCATTAATTTGAATTTCAGCAACTGTCATTTCTTCAGTCTCAGACTAACTTGGAGAAAGAAACTAAAAGGGTAACAAGGCCAACACACACTGCCATTAATGCAGGAACATGACATAAGAGGTCGAAGAAATACCTGCCATATTTTAAACAAAATTGATAACATTACAAATAGGAGTCTAAGAAGGTAATAAATTATGTTGTCCTTTTGAGTTCAAAATTCCAACGGTTGTAAATATATAGCATGCCTTTTCCCGTCATACAGAATTTACTGATCACAATAACTCCAACCACTCAAACCTATTTGAATCCACAGTTTACTAAATTGCAGAATGAAATGTTACAGGAACCAACATCCTTGTCTCCTGCAAAGAACCTCCAGCTACTAGATCAGTGAAACAACTATTCCCCAATTTATTGTTTTTAACAATCCCTCGCCCAACAAAAACACACAACAAAACAAAGACCCCACCTTTTATCGCCCTTGCATAAAAAGATGTGATACCCAAGCACCCTAATACACTTGAATTGACCAAAACATGAGGGAAAATCTTGAAAAGAGCCACCTAGTTACTTAGCTTTAATTTGCTAGAACGTTGCAATGTAGTCACAAAAATGATTGGGCCTATGCAATTGGGTATTGAGGAAGAACAATAAATAAAGTGTTCCTATTGACAATTAAAGATGGGGCGGCTATTTCCACCTCTCATGTTTTTTATTGCTCCTAATCTCTCTCTCTCAGACACACGCGGTGTTCACCCTCCCTTACGGGTAGGAAATATAGTCTTTCGTTTTCTTATCTGATACTTTGCGGAAGAATTTTTTTTTAACTTACCCTACCCGACTTTGGCCAAATTAATTAGGTAGGAAATCGGGTGAACACTTTTATAGTTATTAATTTTTGGATTATTTTAACAATTAATTAAATAACATGCACAAATTTAACAACACAATAAACCAATAACACTAAAACCTAAAACAATTACAACAACAATTACAATAAAACACAAGAAAGCATAAAAATTAATCCATCATAATTGTTGCATAAATACAATAACAATTATTTTAAGTTTAAACCATATGGTTAGGGAATTAGGATTTTTTGTTTATGTATATATATATATATATATATATGTATTAGAGTCTAATAAATTAATGCGGATAGGATAGGATAGGAATACGAAAATTAATGGCTATTCGGCATTTCTACCCAATTTTTTTGGCTAGCCGTTCAATAGGGTCGGATAGGGTAGGAAATTGCGACTAATCGAAAATTTGAACATCCCTATGCACTTGGATAGTTGGACCTCATCACTCTTATTGCTCGATCCCAGAGTTTACCAAGGACTGTTCTCACTAAGGCATCTTAATTGATGGGAAAAAAAATGAGAATAGAAAAGCCACTGGGGCTGCCCATTTACCAGAGAGAAGTCTTTCATGGTTGGTCTTGAGAGATATCAAACAATGTGGAAGCGCCATCAGTGTTCTTCGTTATTGCTGGCTATGACCAGCTAAGCAGGGTTTAAACTTAGTGAAGGTAATTATAGGGGATGTTACTAATAGATGGGATTTGGTTGCAATAAAAGGAGGGTGATTGGTGGTCAAATCTCACCAGAAAGTTGATTGGAAAACTCAAAAAGGGATGTTGCATGTTTTGTTCAAGAATAATTTGGTTTATGAATAAATAAAAGGGGGGTTGATAAGCATATAGGGTGCGGAAACAGCTGCTCGCCAAAAGATATCCCAAAGCATTCAAATCATTAACAAAACGAAAATCAATCCAAAATTACCTTTTATATATTGGCATTAATTTTTTTCCTTTTCCCTTTTGCAAGGGTGAGTGAATCATGGCACTTGAAAGCCTTCAGTTGATTTATGAAAGGAAAAAATCGAATAATCCATTGTCATGATTGTAATTATATTTACCTACTATGCTACACTGGCTTAGCATAAAAGGTCAAAAAAAATTCTCCAAGCAAAAAACCAAGGTTGACTATGTAAATGGCGAGTTTTGGTGAAGAACTTGCTAGTCAGATGCATAAGATGTGTCTCAGACCTACTCAGTAACCATAGAGACCTGATAGAAGTTTTGCATAGACTTCAATCAGGCATATAGGCCTTGCCTGCATGTGAGCATTAGGGGTTTCCTTACGCCAGCTTTGAGCAGATCATGTGGTTAGGTATGCATTTGAGCATTTGGGCAAATGGGATATCTTCTGCCAGCCAAAATCATTAAAAAAAAAAATGGAACATCTATCAGAGCTAAGTTCCGGTGTCCATTTAAACAGAGAAGTCACAGGACCCACCAATATGAAATAGCAAATTGTCCTCCTAGTCATAGCACCAAGATTGCGAAATGGCAAGAAAACTGAAATATAAACACAATGAATTATGAGAGGATGAGGGTAAAACCTGGCCAAGACCCCCCGTTATGGTAACTCCATCTTGTATTCTTCGGATCACAACCTGTTACAATCCGCCATTCATGGCTTTCTATTGCAGGATAGCTTATTTTTAAAGGCATTTCTCCAACCAGCTCCTCCCAGCGTGCTTCAATAAGATCCATAATAGCAGCAGACTGTTCAGGGGTGGCAAGAGAAGCTAAGATAGCGACACAATTACCTAAAGCAAACCATCGAAAATCCATCCTTGCAGGACTGACATTGCCTATGAAGTAGCCACCACGCATTGGCATAAACTCAAATACCCAATCTGGGATTGAATCAGGAATAACATTAAACTTATTTACTGCAGTGTGAGAATATTCTTCCGTTTTATATCGGTATATGTCATTCAATTGTTGGAAGTCAAGCCAGAAATAGCTTCTCATGTGGTAACTCAAGGCATGCAAGCGTTTTACTATCCTCTCCATACACTCTTTCCCATCTGCATCTTGCTTCAGCATTACCAAAGCACATCTCAATGCCATAAAGAAAAGTGCTTGGATTTCAATAGGATAACCATAAATTCCCTGAAAAATGAAACAATAACATTGGAATAGGATAGGTAGTTCGTGGAGGAGAATACCATCACCAATAGCACATAAAACACAATATGTTAGCCACTACAATGAAAACCTAGCATAGACTAAATCATTCTCTTGTAGCATATTATATGATATAGTCTCTGTTAGATCATATTTCTGATTGACTAATTTCGTAGAATTCATTGTAAAATCTCAACTTATTCCATGGTTATGATGCTATCAAGTTCAATATCCGAAAGCATCATTGAAGGGAGGAGATCAAATGTCAAACCAACATCATTCAACTTCTATATGCGCCTTCATACTTAGGACAAAGGTAATGACCTAGACACCAAATATAAACCCTTAGTTTATTTTAACTTAGGTTGATTAGGATGAAAATGAAATTAGAAGCGATCCGATTATGACTCCTTGGTGATTTTAAAAGTAAAGATTTTCTAAATCATTTATGACTTTTGAAAATATAGTTTGAATCACAATCGAACCCCTGTTTCAGCAATACCCTTTAGTGATCAAGAGGACTAATTTTTGCATGATTTTATGCTCAAAAATCTGTAGGGACCGATCTATGCTCACTAGAGTCTTCGCTATAGCGGTCTCTTTATGACTTATGGAAGGAAATGAAAAAAACCACGGAAGGCTGCACAGACTCGCTCTTTGAGCTTGTTCGAGTGGTCTCCAAGGTCGCTTGAGCGGTGCCTGCCTTAGTCATGCTTGAAATGTTGTTTTCATTCTAGAAACAACCGCCCTTCTACCGATCAAGTGATCATTCGCGAATCTGAACTTTCTTATTTATTAAGACTACTCTTATTCTGGACCTATAAATAGTGAGAGCTTTTTTCACATCTAGGTTAAGCCTCGTAAGCCTCTAGGGAGATTTCTAAGTGAGAAAACTATTTCTCTAGCATGAGAGTTTCCACCACAACCTAGATCTCTAAGATCCAAAGGCTACCACTAGAGATTCTACTCAACCTCACAAATTAGAGTTGAAGATCTTGATGGTTAGATAAACTCATTGGTGTGTGCATACAAAGGATTGTTAGCGTGCTCATAATCGCTTAAGGCCTAGACGTTGGGGGAGGGCCTTTTATGAAGAGACAACAAGGAAAGGAGCATTTAACCATGGTATTGATTGAAGTATAAATCTCAAGTACTTGTATGTTGACTTAACGAGTAATTGAATAGGCTTTGGTGAACCGAGAAGGTTCTCTTCAGTTTTTCCCGAGGAGGATTTTCCGTATTAACAAATTACTTGTGTTATTTACTGTTTATTATATACACTTATGATTGTGAGCACACACGCATACTATGTGTTTGTGATTTTGATTGATTGAATATTCATTCAAGCATAGTTGTGTTAATTGGGTTTGGGATTTGGAATCGTCGTGAGATTAATTTTGAGTGAATTAATTCAAGATTAATTAAATCAATCATCATGGATAGGTTAGGTTAGGTTATGGTGACTAAAGGAGTTCTCATCGTTAATTTCCGTATTCGATTGAGAAGAGTCAATTTTTGTAGATATAGGTTTTAAATTAGTAATCAATTTGGGCTACAATTGAGAAACTTAATCACTCCCCTCTAGATATAGTGTTTTGATCTGCACGTGTATAATCGAGAGCGACGATCCATATCAAGTTCCCCTTTCCAACATAAAAATTGAAATCAAAACGTGGTTACCCTCAGATCATAGACACTAAGTAGATATATCTTATTTTTGCTTACTTGCCTAGTGTACTTTCGTGAAATCTATCATACTACTAGTTAGTTTTGAATGGATTCTCAAAAGGAAGGTGGTTTGATTGGACGACTACCACTCTTTGATGGATCGAACTTTGCTTATTGGAAAGCTCGTAGGAGAGGGTTTTCTTAAATCCATTGACGAGAGAGTGTAGTTGACTGTCTAAGAGGGTTGGAGCCCCTCCACCGTCACCACACAAGTTGAATGTGGTACGATAGTGGTTGAAGTAAAATCCTCAAAAGTATGGACTAAAAACAAGAATGAATCCGCAGTGTGGAACTCTAAAGGCTTGAATGTGATATTCAATGTTGTGACACCGAATGAGTTCTGAAGGATCACGAATTGCGAAACTTCAAAAGAAGTAAAGGCTTGAATGTGATATTCAATGTTGTGACACCGAATGAGTTTTGAAGGATCACGAATTGCAAAACTTCAAAAGAAGCGTGAGACATCTTGGTTGTTTCCCACGAAGGGACTTCCATGGTGAAAATAACTTCCATGGTGAAAATATCTAGACTCCAAAGATACACCTCTCAGTTCTAGACTTAAAGGATGTAAGATGATGAAACATTTAGTGAATTTTACACTAAATTGTGTGATATTATAAATTCATCTTTTGCATTAGGTACCAAGGTTGACGAGGTGGCCATCAAGTGAAAAATCTTGAGATCTCTACCTAAAAAGTTTCATGCTACGGTCACATTCTTGGAAACAAGTGTTAACTTGGAGTTGGTGCTAGTGGAAGACCTAGTTGGGTCTATATTGATGTTTGAGATGAATCTTCCATCCTTAAAGCAAGCTAATGGTGTTGCCTTAAGCTCTACGAATCAATAAGGAAGTAAATCCGGGTCACCCCGATAAGGAGAAAAAGACCTAGCCTAAATTGCACAAAGGTTTAAAAAATACTTCAAGGTTAGCAATGTTGAGTCCTCAAAGTCGAAAGAAAAACCTAGTAGACCTACTCCTAAGGAAGGAAGAGAGAAAGGCTAAAGAGACTCGAGAAAAAAAGTTGAGAGAAAGGGACAAGACTTCCAATGTTTTGAATGTCAAGGATTTGGACATATTGCATTGGAATCCCCAAATAGAAAGAAGAGATTTGCCCAAAAGACAAGAAGAGATGTATGAAGGCCATATGGAGTGGTAGTGAAAATGAGTCAAACCCGAGTATTGACTCCTCTACTAGTGATGATGAAGAGAATTTTACGGCCTTTGTAGGTTTACTCTCCTCACCCCTAGAGAAACTTCCACAAGTGAAGGTCAAACAATTCCTGCCACAGTGGTAGAAGACTTGGAAGAATAAATTTCCACATGTGTAGATGATGAAGATTGTTTTGAGGATACATAAGATGTATATGATAAATTGTATGTATAATTTCTCAAACAGCAAGAGAAGGTGCTCTCCCTGAGTGGTTGTGTCAACTCAAGTGAAGAAGAAACAAGTGCACTCCATATAGACTTATTGAAGTGCAAGGCCCAAATATATGGCATAGAGGATGAGAAGAAGTCTCTCTTTGATCGAGTGAGCTTCCTTGAAAGAGAATGTCATGAGCTTGTTAAGACAGAGAAGAATTTTGAGTCAAAATGTGCTAAACTTGGTAAAAAATTTCATGAAGCAAATGAACTCTCTAAGAACTTCCCAAATGCAATGAAAAGTTTGATAGAATGTTATCTCTGGGAAAGATTGTAGGTGGTCAGTGTGGCTTAGGCTACTCAAATGTAAACACCAACACTTCTTTCAAGACCGTGTTTGTAAAAAGTATCACCAAAACATCACCCTCACCAATACGCACAAGCTCTAAATTTGTTAAGAATGGTAAGTGTAGGAATTCAAAGAAGAAGGCTGTTAAAGAAACCCAAACCAATCATGATTTGTGCTATATTTATGGAGAACATGGTCATCGTAGTGGATATTGCATGAAAAATATGAATGTCTTAAATAAGAAGCTTGAGCATCTAACCAGCTAATCTAAAGCATTAAGCACTCAAGTTGTTAATTTTTCTAAACTTTTAAAAAGATCACGTGAGTCCAAACATATACATGCATCATCATCACATGAACCACATGCTAGAGGGTGCCCAAAGCGTCTTCAACCCCCAAGGTCAAGGTTGATCTACACACTTTTAGGGAGAAAAGAGCTAGTCCTCCCCCTATTTCCCGACCTAATCCAAATTTTAGGAAGGAAAAACAAGATTGAGTGTTTAGGGAGGACCTTGAGAAACTTACCATCTCAATAAAGTTAGAGGTTTCGAGTGTTTCTAGCAAGGTCATGACTCCTAAAAAGTAGGAGAGGTGAGAGTATAGACCTAGATGATCTTTCATGCATTTCATCGAACACCATAGAGTCATACATTGTATGTGTATATATATTTTTTTTTATTTTTATCATTTATTTTTCTATATGAAAATACAAAAACATTTGAAATTTAAAAACTAAGAATTACAAAAAATCCAAAAAGATTTTTGATGTCTCTTTTGATATTCATTTTTAAGATTTATGGTAAAATATTTTATTTGTTTTCCTTTGTTTAGTTGCATTTTTATGCATTTGTTTTCATTTACATGTTATTAATTAAAAAATTCAAAAACATTGGAAAAGAAAAAGTCAAAAAGATTTTCTTTTATTTGTTCTTCTTTGTTCGATGATCATAGTAATTCACACTTTGATTTGCATTGAAATTATTTCATCCTAAAATCAAAGTTTAAATGTGCATTGCTATGAGTCATATTAGGGGATAGAGAACTTAGTAACATAAATCTAATTACATGATTCATTAGCCAAAGTCTCTTACATCCTAGCACGCTTGGATATTGTTTAACTTTGAAAGATTCAAAACCAAGTACACACATCATTCACTTTCATACTTAGGAGTTCAATTGTAACACCCCGCATTTTCTTTTATATATGTATATAGATATATAGTAAATAATTGTGATAAAAAAAATGTAGATATATGTAGTGATGTGTGTTTGAATTTGGTAGATTGAAAAATAGAGATTTAAAATGTTAGTGAAAATAATAGTTGAAATTTGATTTTAATAAGTAAAAATATAAAATTTTAGGTCCTAGAACTTGTATTAAATAGGTTTGGTGTAGAAATATGTGTTGGAGAGGTTTGAGATGGATTTGGTTGGCTTAAGAATGGATTCAAAATGGAAAAGGGACGAAGACAGGCTGTGAACAGTGCACTGCTACAACTTCAAGCTCGATTTAGAACTTGATGCAGTCAATATCTCTCAAAACTCAAAACATAAAAGTTTTAGAGCTCTTTCGTATCATTCCATAGCATCTTGAATCATCTCAATCAAAGCTTGGATGAGAGAGTTATGCTCAAATAACAAAATGATGTCGAAATAGTCAAATTAGCTTCGTTTTGCATTTAATGTCTCTATTTGCATCCTAAATCAAAATATAAGAATAATGAGTACTTTTAGGCTTCAAATAAGTATAAAACGTTTTAAGAAACACCCTTTATCACCTTTTATTTGCAAACATCGCAAAACTTCATTAATAGCCGATTCGGATGGGTAAAATAGAAATTTTAGTGTTTCGGGTGTACGTTGACTTAGGTTTTGAGATAAATCATAAAAATAAATGTTTTTAGGTTAAAATAACATTAAAAATGAATCCAGAACGTCGACAAACTTTAGGATAGTCATATGGATCAAATTGGAGATTCTTAGTGGCAAAACCGTAAATTTGGAGAAACCCAAAACAGCCTATGAACAGTGTTTTTCGGGGCTGCTATGTTTTAAATTCATTTTAATCTCATTTGCTCTCATTTCCTTCACTCCCCTCACACCCCCACACCTCTTGAAACTCTAGAGTGCATTAGAGAAGAAGAAAGGAAGGGAAAAATAAGAGATTCAAGGGTGATTCAAGATCAAATATTCTTGTTCTTCACTCCAAAACTAAGGATTCAAGGTAGGGGTTTTCTCTCATTCACTTACATTGAGGCTAGGGTATTTATATATGTATGTTTTGGCTATCACTGGTATATATATGCTATGGAATCATCCTCTCTTAGACTTTTTGCAAGGATTACATGTTTTGAACAAAGTAGGGTTTAATACCCATGAAATCTCCTTTCTAATTTTAAAACCATAATTTTTGGAGAGTGATGTATTTTTCTTCCTAAATGCTTTCTTTATTATGAATTTCGAAACCTTAGTGCTTTGTGTTGGGTAGAAAAATGATGTTATTGTGATCTCATGTATTTTTTTAGTTGGTTGTGGAATTGTTATATGATATATTTTGGAAATTTTGGATAGATGCTTGTAAATTGAGATAAATGTTGAAATTGTATGCTTGGTTGGGTTGTTTATGATGCACATGAGTGAGAGGTTCCTTGTAAGGATGCTCACCCCTTCCCAAGAGGTTCCCGGTAAGGATGCTTGAAAAATAATGTAGTGATTGGTGAGAGGTTTCATGTAAGGATGCTCATTCATTTTCAAGAGGTTCCCGGTAAGGATGCTTGAGAATCAAAGGTGACCTAAAGGGGGGGTGGAAGTTACCACAAAGTATGTCACCTACCGAAAGAATTGTTGGAAATTGGTTATGGCAATTAATGGTTATTATTGGTATGTGGTGCTCGTTTATTCATTTAAGTAATATTTTTAAATAAACTTGAGATCCTTTTTAAATGTCACTGCTTTATTTCAAATTATGTATCTATGTTATGTTAAAATTGAGACCGACCGTTTTAAATCCTTTTCTAAACTTTGTATGAGTTTGGGAGAATTTTTTTACAGAGCTTCGTGCTCACCCCTTATTGCTAACATTTTTCAGATTACCCGCTTGAGGAGGAGGACGTAAGGGTCGAGGAGCCCGTTACTTGGGAGACTCCACTGGACGGGAGTGTGGATCCCGAGGTGGACGCATAGAGCAACCTCCTTTCCTTTTGTACTAGACTAAGACATTTTTTTGGAACATTGTGTAGTCTAGCTTCTTTTGTTTATTCCGCTGTGCTTTTTTAATTAATTTTTGAGATGTAATAGCCATGACTTGGGCTTATTCTTTTGGATAATGTTGTAAATATTCGTGGATGACAAATGAAGTCTTGTTTCTTAAGGGATTATATTTAGTGCTCTCATGATATGAACGGTTTTAGAATGTAATGCAATCCAGGGTGTGTTTTGGGGCGTTACAAAGTTGGTATCAGAGCTTAGGCTTTAGGTCTTACATGGGAGCTGTAGGTTATGAAATCACCTCTAGAGCTTTAGGATTAGGGTGAATCAAATCCTTGAGTGAAATTTTATACACGTTCTATGCCTTAGCTTAACCTAATATTTAGGATGTCCTTTACATCCATGAACTAAGTTGTGAATTGATGTGCAGGATGAACGGACGGGGACGCAGACGTGGGCGTGGTCGTGGAGGTCAAGCGAATCCACCACCACCACCACCTTCGAATGCCATGCAAGGCATTTACCAATGCTTGAGGGAGCTCACCACTTTGGTACAAAACCAAAATGGTAACAACAACCACAATGGTGGAGCTCATCCTCTCGCTCAAGTACCGGGCAATGGGAACGGAGACCGAATGATGATAGTTCTTCAGGAATTCTTAAGACAACGACCACCCAATTTTCAAGGGAGCTCCAATCCTTTGGAGGCGGATAGATGGATCCGCCGAGTGAAGAAGATTTGTGACGGCATGGTAGTTGCCGAGGAGTTGAGAGTTGGTTTGGCGACCTACCTGTTTGAGGGGGAGGCCGACTATTGGTGGGATGCCATAAAGAAGAGAAGGGACACCGATACACTCACTTGGGAAGAGTTCGATCAACTTTTCCAAGATAAGTACTTTCCTGAATCGGTCAGAGACCGAATGAAGGCAGATTTTCTTGCACTACGACAGGATAGTATGACCGTGACTGAGTATGAGAGGCGGTTCGACGAGCTCTCCCGTTATGCTACGGGATTTATATCTAATGAGGCCGACAGGGCCAAGCGCTTCGAGCAGGGTCTGAGGCCGATCATTAGGGAGAAGTTGGTGGCTCTCAGGATCCGTGATTTTGGGGACTTGGTGGACAGAGCTACACTGGTAGAGAGAGACATAGAGGATAGCCAGCGACAACAAGGCTCCTCGAGAGGAGGTCCGATCCGGACGGGTGCTAGCACTAGTGGGGCACGGAGACTGACACCATACCGTCGCCCAGACCAGACAGGTGGACAACGACTTTTGACAGCCCGAGGAGAGGGAGACACTCAGACTAGAGCCGGTATTACCTCACGATCCTGCTTTGCATGCGGAGGTGTGGGGCATATTCGGATGCATTGCCCAGTTTTTCCACCTCAGGGGCCTATCCAGACCGCCAGACAGGTACCATCAGCCCAACCACCACCACCGAGGCCTGCACCGCAACGACGGATACAAGCTCAAGCCCCCGGCGGCGCCAACCAAGGGCGAGTATTTGCTTTGACTCAGCCAGAGGAGGACATTGCCAATGCCGTTGTGGAAGGTATCGTCCTTATTTACAATTCTTGGGCTTGAATATTATTTGACCCCGGTGCAACACACTCATTTGTACGCACGACATATGCACTTGATTTGGGATTGAGTTTCGCGAAGCTAGAGCATGTTATGAACATTAGCTTGCCCACGGGAGAACGGTTAAATACTAGCCGAGTTTGCAAGGGTTGCGTGCTTCACATTGGGGAGCACAAATTGATTGTAGATTTGATTGCTTTAGAGATAAAGGGGTATGATGTGATTTTTGGGATGAACTTGTTGTCCGCTTTCTAGACGGTAATAGATTGTTTCCGCAAGCGGATTATATTTCAGTTGCTGGGAGGAGTCGTTTTCAGTTTTGTGAATAACCGAGATTCTTCCCATCCATTTCCTACTACGGGTAGTAGATTCTTAAAAGCAAAATCGAAAATTCATTTGAGTTTCTTAGCTAGCTTGATGGGAGATGAAAGGGATAAAATCCATACGGATGTAGTGTTAATTCTATCGGAGTTTCTGGATATTTTTTCCGAGGAATTACCCGAATTACTGCCATATAGGAAAATTGAGTTCAAGATCGATCTCTATCCGAGAACTGAACCCATATCCATTGCTCCCTACCCGATGGCACATTTGGAGTTGAAGGAGCTAAGGAAGCAGTTGGATCACTTGTTGGCGATTGAGTTTATCCGTCTAAGCACTTCACCTTGGGGAGCCCCGGTCCTCTTTGTGAAGAAAACGGATGAGACTCTACGCTTGTGCACGAATTACCGAAGGTTGAATCAGATTACCGTGAAGAATAAGTATCCGTTGCCGAGAATT